GGAAAGCCTGAGGTCACACAAAGCACATGGGCCTGCATAAACCCTGCACCTGGATGGGCACCACCCTCATGTCTGCACGTAGACAGCCCAGGGCAGCCATGAGGAGAGAGCATTTCCTGGGCACGGAGCGGGGAGGAGAGAGAGCTGCGCATGGGTTATTAAGAGCAGTTTGTATTTATTTGTGCTTCTCTAATTACTGCTTCTTCACATCTGCAGGAAAACAGAAGGAGGCGTGTGGCGAAGCATGCCAACGGACAGATATCAATTTACAGCAGGTTATTAGACGTTCCCACAAAGAGATTAGACTCCCCTAAATGACGGACTCTTTAACTGCTCCATAAAAACAAAACAAAGCACAACAAAAATCCCACCACGGGGGGAAAGTCGGAGGGAAGCGTGGAAAGCAAGGCAGAATTAACAGGCATCACTGCGGATGGCTGAAGAGAGGAGTTTAATTTAAAGAGTAATTTCATCTGGGATGAGTTGCATATGGCCTGAGGCTGAGAGATACAGAATAGCGAGGATGAGCATGCAGAGAGAGACAAAGACAGGGAGCAGGGAGTTCAGGGGTTCCTGTACAGATCTTCCCCTCCATGCCAAGACAGTGTAAAATCCGTCCTAGCCATGGGCCACTCTTACCTGGGAACGACACAGGGTTCAGTAGATTCTCTGCGTGCCGCGTAGGACCTAGCTGCTGACTAGCTGTGTGGCCTGCATGGTACAGGGACTACACCTGTTGGGTATTAAGGCCATTTCCATGTCTCTTAGGCTCTGGTGTAGAAGAGACAAATAATTCTGTGTGTCCCTTGCGCTTACCTGGCGCTTACCCTGTAAATTCCCTGAAACTCCTGGAGAATTGCCAGCTGAGGCCACGCGCCCTGGTAAACAGAGCCATTCAGCCCACATTCAGACTCCGACAGCCCGGGCACAGCCAGGCGGGTAGGTCCTGTGCCGAGTGCCATCAGCTCCCGTTGGTTTGCAGGACTATGGTGGAGGGGGCAGCTAACTGCAGTCCGGAGCAGGAAGCCAGGTGGAAACCCCTTCAAAACCAAGCTCTGCCTGGACAATGACTGCAGGGCTCTTGGCAATGGGGCTGGCTCCATTTCACTCCAGCTCACACGGCTGCTCCCTGGGTTGCAGGATGGATCCCGTCAGCCTGAGCCTGCAGGGGGGCTGCTGGAGTGAAAGAGGGGACACACACGGCAGCATTCTACTTCTCCCCTCAGCCCAGCGCCCAACACAGCC